TGCGATTCGATTACGATTCGAACGTGTGGAATGTTGGAGGTCGGGTGACAAGCATATTTTCACGTGGAATGTGCTCTCGCGCGATGTCTCTCTCTCTCTCACGTTTCTTTATTTTTTTTCCTTTTTTCCCTTTTTTTTAAATTAAGTCACTTCACCTATACTGTAAGTACCTCACTGCTGTTGTTACATTAATTCTTTTTCTTTTCTTTTCGTGTATTCACTGGCCTTTGCGTTCATTATCGTGAACAGTGGACATCGAAAGGAAGGTTCTGTCACTGAACTGACCTCGCGGGGTCAGACGTGAGTTTCCCGTATTCTACGAATGTCCGTAGACTAGAGTTATTCCTATCTCGAAATATCTTTTAAGTTAAAAATAATCATTCTAGTTCTACAATTTCGATTCGTTCTCTCTCTCTCTCTCTTCCCCCGTTTTTTTCTTCTTCTTCTCCTTCTCCTTCGATTTTTCCCCTTTTTTTTTATTCCGATTCATGTGATCGCAATCTGTGGCACGTTCGAATGTGCTTCGAGATTCGCGTCGACACAGAGCTCTCGCATACACACCACCGTTTTCCTTTTTCGTTTTGTTTTCCCTTTTTTTGATGCAAAATGAAAAAAGTCACAGTCTATACGTCGGAGTAACTTCTCGATTATCACTGAACCGATTCGGTGAATGTCAATCTTTCGTCCCCTTGTATTCGTTTGTTTCTTTTTTTCCCCCTCTCGTTTCGCTCTCAGTCGAACGGTTCAACGATCGATTCACGTACAAATTACGACAATATCCATTGTTTCGAGTTTATCTCACATAAAGTCCACATTACGCAGAATAAAATAAGTTATACGATTTGTCTATTTTTCATTAAAATATTATGGTACAAATTACAATTATTTATAGTTCAGGGTCTAAGAGCCGTTAGTTGAAACTATAAAATCTTTATTAGCCACTTCTCCGGATAGCCAAGAAGTGCGTCCTCGTACATAGATTTCAGTATAATTTTTTTTTTGTACAAACAATCTTACACGTGATCTCTCGTACGGTTGATATGGCCTTTTTTTCTTTTTTATCTTTCATCATCTTATTCCTTTCCCCCGGACACAATGACTTCTGAAACGGTTACCTCGGTTTAGTGAAAAGTATGAAGGTGATTTCCCCGGTGGATTCATTGCTCGTCACCTCGATCGCTATTTTACTTGTAGTGGTTTTAGATTATGTTACTGTACGGTCTGTAACGAGTATATACTTTTAATCGCAAAGAATACGAAAGGCTTGTTGTACATTTGGTCAATAAAACTTCCTTCGCAACCGCGTCGCTCGCCTAAGAATAGAAAGTTTTCTTTTGTAATCGGTACTGTATGCTAACGACCCTTAACCCTTTGATAATATCACAGATGAATGAGTTTCCGTGTTGTGCGTTACGCGTCGCTACCTAAAGTTCCTAACAAGTGCGTTGATCCTTTCAATCTTTTCGCTGAGCACTCGCCTCTCCGAGTCGAGGGCCGTTTTCGCGGACAGGAGCTCGTATATCCTTCGTTCCAGCTGGATCGTCTCGGAGCGCAAGTTGTTCGACTGTGCTGCCAGTCTCGATGTTTCGCACGTCAAGATTTTCTTCTCCAGCATTTTCTCTGAAACGGAAAATACGCCGACGACACCGTGAAACAACCGTATAACGTCTCGTTCCACATTCTAACATCATCCAAGATCGTACCTTTGGAATATTCTCTGTAAGCTAGCAGAATGTCCTCGATTCCGGTCCACTTGGGTCTGCCTTTCTTCCCGCCGACATTCTCGTCGGCGCTGTCGTCCATGATCTTTATGTCCACTACCTTGTAGTGCTGTTTCACGCCATTTTCACCGGGCATAGGTAAAACGGGATAACACATCGGGACTATGTTCGGAACCAACGGCGGAAGAGGCGGCGGCCGTTCGGGTACGTGCTTCACTTTCACCCGGTCCAGCAGCCTCATCTTCTGCGGCGGTTTCGGCAACACAGGCGGATTCTTCGAATAAGCTTTCGCGATCCTCTCGCAGTACGCCGTCACGGTGTTCGAACTCTTCCTTTTCTTACGGTCCTGAAGAACGTACTGCCATGTCACCTCTGCTTCTGTAATTCGAATGGGAATATTCGTTTAATCGTTTGCACTCAAGAATATTTTTCTTGACAAATATTCGTTATGATATTTTTTGCAATTAACATAGAAATACCCTGCATGAATTGAGTAACAGAACTATTTTATTTCGACGTTCCATTTGTTGATAGATTAAATAGAATTTAATATTGAATTTTAAATTTTACCATTTTATTCGGTCAAAGCAAATGGCGACTGAAAGGCAAAGGGTTAACCCTTTGCAGATGGTTTTGTAATCTATCAGCGACTGCAACTGATTTTTTATAGTATCCCTAGTGAAAATGAACAATGCTATAACATTTCTTAGATCTTTTATTTTCCTTCTTAGTGGAAAATTTGGATGTGTGAAAAATCTAACTCTTTGCACTCGAGAGGTGACTCTCGAAATAAAACACCTTTGTTGCTTAACTTATCTATGAATTATAATTATATTAATTATATTTATATCATCTGTATCTCGTCAAAAAGTTCGAGACTCGCTTACCGTCTCTTCTATTCGGAGGCATCACGTCGAGACCTATGGTCTTGAGGAAACCAACTTTCGGCTCGAAGTCTGCCGTGTGAAGCAACACGTCTGGATGTTCGCGTGGTATCGGCAGTACAGACTCGACGATCGGTTCCGCTTCCAAAGGTGCGTCCGGTGGATCGGGATTCAATTTATACCTTTTCTCCACTTTGCAAAGCTCCATCTCTGTAACACACACGACATCGTTTACAGTATATATATATATATATATATTTTTTACGATGGTATTCGATAAGAGGATATATTAACCGTTTGAGCGCCAGTGTCTAAAAGTGCCACTTTATCCAACTTTATTTTTATTTTTATTTTTACTATTACCTGCTTAGAAATGGAAAAATGGAACGATCACGCTATCTACAATCTTTTCATGTAAAAATAAAAACGCGTAATTCAGTTTTTGAAATGAAAGAAACGCGATCGCGCCGCTTGGAACTTTTCGACCGGATTTTTGCAAAGACCCGTGTCACTGAAACGGTTAACGAAGAGATTGTCCTTACCGTTTCGCATGCTTAAAGTGGTCAAGCCGAACATAGCCAGGAAGGCGAGTTTCTGTTCGGAATACTGTAACTTGGCCGGCGGACCTTTCGTGATCCACAGGTCGACGTCTTTGAGCTCGTCTTCGCCTTCCGAGTCGGAACTGCAGACGAGCCCGGAGTTCCTCTCTCGTTTACGTTTCCGTCGTTTCTCGGCTAAATCTAACGAGGACGTCAGCTCCTTCGGCTTCTCAGGTACAAGAAAAGACGACTTGTCGTTCGAAACATCTTGTTTGACTAGAGCCTTGCTCAGGTCAGGCACGTTCAACACCGGTGGCTCGCACTTCACGGAAATCTCAGTCAAATTATTGCACTTGTCGGTGAAACAAAATGCGCCGGTTTTCAGCTCGTTCGAGAAATTCAACAGTTTCTCCTGGTATTTTGGTATCTGCAGGAGAACGTTCGACACGTTCTGACAGGTACGCAAAACTTCCTCAGACTTGATGCTCTGCATCAGCTGAGTGGTGTCTATAGGCTTCTGCGCGATATCGTTTATGCTGAACTTAAAACTCGGTTGAAACGATAATGTGGACAAAACATTGCTCTGATCGGTCTGCGTGTTAGACTCTATCTCGGGCTTGCTCTCCTTCTCGGCGAGATTCAGGCTCTCCGGCTGATAGACGGCCGGCGGGCCGCCTTTCCCTTGTTCGTAGGTCGAATGGGGGATCGACGGTTTCTCTTGGGCCGAGTTCTTTCCCAAATGATTCTGCTGGCACGCCGTCGGTGCCGGTTGCTTCGCGTGATTCTCGGCTTTCTCGTTGTACGAATTCGCTTTGCTATCCTTGGCTATCGCCGTGGCGGTCTCGCTGCTGCTGCTGCTGTTCTTCTGATGCGAATTCGCGTGGTTCGGGATCTTGCTCGCGTTCCCCTGGACGAGAGCGTTGCCGTTGTAGTTCAGACTCCCCGATACTTTCTCGCTGGACAGGCAATTCGCGTTTAACGCGTCGGTTCGTTGAGACACCACTGCTGCCGCGGTCGTCGCGTTCGACTCGGCATGATGGGAGCTCTGCTTCGTGCAATTCGAGGTCGCGTTCGTCCCGACGCCGCCTCCACCTCCTCCGCTGCCGTTGCTGGTCAACGTCGGCACGTTGATCTTCTGAGGATGATGCTGATGAGGCGGCGCGGAGAAGTGCGGCGGCTTGTAGAGTCCAGGTACATGGGAGACGGGTAGATGCGGGTGATGGAACTGCTGCGGCGGATAGGGGATCGGCTGCGACAGCGACTGCTGGATGCCCGCGTTCTTCGCGGTGTCCGCGATCGAGTTGTCCGGCAGCATCTGGCCAACGATCGCCGGAGACACGGTGGTGGCCGCGGACGATTTGATGGGCGACTCCGGGTGCGACAGTTGGCTCGAGATGCTGTGACTGTGGCTGTTGACGAGCGGCCTCTGCTGCGGCTTCGACGAGGACCGGAACGAGTCCTCGAACGGCCGGACGAAGACCGGTTGCGACACCGCGGGGGATGACGCGCTGGTGGTGCACGTGCTGGTGGTCGTCGAGGCGTTCGCCGTGGTGCTCGTCGCGATCGCCGGCGGCTCCTTGCTCCTCGAGGAGCCGTGGACTCCGTGGGAGAGCG